GCTTATTGTATGCACAGTATTGTGGTTTTAATTCATATTAATTGGTCTTAGTCTGTGATATTTATGATCTGTGACATATTAGTTTTTTTTTAATAGTTACAGAAATACAGTATCATTGACTCAACATCCCTAACATCTGGACCTGTTCAAATCCTACTACTTAGGAACTATTACAGCGTAACTGAGGGACAAAAACAAAACCAACATGTTTCATTAGCTGACTTTTGACACTACTGCATCAGTAATATTTCACTAATCTGAATAGTGCACATATATAACAGTATAGTATGAATAAAAAGTACTAAGTAGTGTAAGAATAACATGAAGTAGTGTAAGAAGTACTTGAGGAACAAAACAACCAAAAAACTATCAAAAATAAAAGTAGGACAACAGACATGAGCCGCTTTTGTGCGCATTTTATTGAGACAGGGATATGTACATGATTGTGAGTCAGTTGCCTTTTGTTTGTATTGTAATACCTACCTACCTGAACTTCTTATATCTTGGCCTAACACTTAATAAGGAAACTGAAAAATGAAATAAAATACCTTGCAGGCAATCTGAAACTAAATTGTAAAATTAAATTGAAATAAAAATCAATACATCAAGTCTGAAATTGAACTAGTATTTTTTTTTTATTATTTATCCTTTATGTATGTGTTTTCTTATATAGCACTTAGTGGCATGTTTGTGATGAAGGGCTGTATGAATGATTTTAACTTTGAACTGTGTATTTCCAGTGTTTGCTCATGCTGATGGACAGTCCGTTGAACAGGGCGGGGCTGTTGCAGGTTTACATCCACACAGAGAAAAACGCTTTAATCGAGATCAACCCGCAGACCCGCATCCCAAGAACATTCACACGTTTCTGTGGCCTTATGGGTAAACTATAACTGTTATTTTTTCTGCATGGATAATACACATACTGATCATGCTGTATGCATTGTACTTAAGTCTTATTCCCATGTGTTCTGGCTTTAAGTGAGCCTTCACTCCATTACTGTTCTCCTAATTCTTCTTTCTTCTCTTTACTTTCTTAGTTCAGCTGCTGCACAAGCTGAGTGTCAGGGCTGCTGATGGTCCTCAGAAGCTCCTGAGGATGATTAAAAATCCAGTGTCTGATCACCTACCTCCCGGCTGCCCTCGTATCAGCACCTCCTTCTCTTCAGGAGAGGCCGTGTGCCCACGGACTTTGGTACCAGAGGGACCAGCTGCAGTGGTGATTGGAGCATTCGCACATGGAGCGGTGAGAAATATATTGAGGCATTCTCTATTACCGACTCTTTTAGTCTGTTACAGTTATGTCAAATACTTCTTGTGTGTTACTGATGTCTCTGTCCTTATTAGGTTAACGTGGACTACACAGAGAAGACAGTGTCCATCAGTAACTACCCCCTGTCTGCAGCACTGACCTGTGCCAAGATGTGCTCTGCCTTTGAGGAGGTGTGGGGCATCCTGTGACGGATAAAAAAGTGCTGATGCTGACTGGAAAGAGACAGTTGACTATATGGACTTTATTTCAGTGCACTAGAAATACTGGACTGAGTGTCCACTGATGCCCAATGTTCTATCCTGCTATACACTGTCCTGTATATGTATTCGATGGCATGTGAGCACCATGTGGAAGATACATTGGTTCCTTTTCCATGCAGGAGCATGGCAGTTATTTTTATACCAGTATCAATTGCAGTTTTGATTATGGATTGTTGTAGTTACATTAAAATGTGTGACTAAATAACGACTGCTCTTGATTTGTGCAAAGAGTTCACACATAGACAACCATAAACTACAAGATGGACATCGCTACTGCGATGTCACCCACTGATTTATAAAGTCCTGCTTCGAAGCATCAAGATAATGTAATGAGAGACAGAATTGACTGTGAAACCACGATATCAGAAAAATACTCCCTTCTGAAATGATCACAGTTTGACAAATGGACATAACATTTTATTCAACATGACCCAAGCCTCATGACTCAGCCCATAAACTCATCAAGATAGTATTCAGAGGTCAAGTCCAAGAGCTGTTTTGCAATTGTCTCCTAATGAGGTTTTTCAAGTGACATCATGTGCACAATGCTTTGAGAGTCGATATTGGGTGTCATACAATCACCGGTTACTAGGGACGTGTATTCTCCAACTGGCTGACAGTGGTTTCTCGAGGTTGCCGGCTCTCCCAGGATAAAATCAGTTGCAAAGAAGGTGCTGCACTAAAAGCACTTTGGTCTGGTTACTAACAGATTGCCATGGTTGCCTGCAGTTTTAGTTTATCTGCCAGCACTTGCCAACTACTAGTCTAGTGGTAGTAAAACTTGAAAAAATGCAACACGAAATGGCGAATGTTTGCCTTCAGAATAAAGTTCAGCCTCAGTGCTGCAGCCAATATATTTCAAAGGGTGCAAGTTTTACTTTGAAGGTAATAAGTTCATCAATTCCATTGATGGAAGTGATGAACTTATGTGCTGCTGCTTTGATCAGCAGCACAAAAATGTGCTGCTGATCAAAGCATTCACAAGGAGGTTTATGCTGGAAATATGCCTTTTTCCCTAACAACAGGTGATTGCCAGGGAGATCACTGACAGCCTGTAGGCCTGTGTGTCTGGGACTTTAGCAATCAATGTCCCAGAGACTGCCATCAACCTCCAACAACCACTCATAATAGGCAAGGGAATACTCATTTTTCAATCACAACTGGTGGTTGCCAGGTAGACACAGACTGTCTCTAGGCTCGTGTGACTGAAGCCTTACTCACTTGATCCTACATTATCACCCATTTAAAATGGCAATCACATGGTTAATGATCACATGTCTGTCTGACCTCAATACAATATTTTTGCAACCACAGGTATCGCCTCCAAGTAGCATTTAAAAGAAAAACAAGTTTCCACTGAAGCTTCACTTTTCAGAACTTGTATCTGAAAACTGTCCATGTTTTATGCGATCTATGGTCTGTACAGTGAAGTGAAGACAAAATGATATGGGAACACAAACACAACATAGAAGTACGTGTATTTTAGGATGCTAAAAAGGGTTCTGTTTATTACTGTTTACCATTAAGACTCAGCCAAGCGGTAGTAGTAAGTGCATTTCCTCGATCTCAACTTTGATTTTGGAAGCCTTCGTCTTGCTTGCTTTTTATGTCGAGTTTGAACTTGGTTTGGTCGGCATCTCCGAGTCTTTTGAGCCTTCCTCGGTACCTTTCGAACTCGTGCGCCCCTGTTCGTTGCAGGTCTGCGTTTCTTGCCAGCAAGTTTTGGTGATTTTCTTCCTTTGGTTGTCTTCCTTCTTTGTTTGTGTGATTTGGCTGCCGCTTTGCGAGTTTTGCGTGTTAGTTTGTGCGCTGTGACCGCCATTCTGCGAGGCTTGCGTTTTAGTTTGGGTGATCTAACTTTTCGAGGTGTTGCCCTTGTTTGGTGTGATTTGCTCTTTGGTTTGGTTTGGTTTGGCTTTAATACTCGTCTCTTTTGGTTCTCTGCTCCTTTGGGGGATTTTCTTGTTGCTGTTTTCGGAGTCAGCTTCAGCTTTGCTTTTGACTTTGGAGTCTTCACTGGGATCGTCCTCACTTGAATTGTGTCTGTCAGCTTCTATTTTTTGGGGGGTAAAAGTTAATGTGACATGAAATTGTTTTGAGAATCTCACTGTAATACTGCAACACACGGGCAAGAAAATCACTGTTTAGCCACAATGCCAATAAGCTACATGCATAACTTACACGCAGCAGTGCTGCATTTAGTTGAACTAATACCAGTTACCAAAGATTAAAGGTGCATTACCTTATGGTTGAGTCTGAATGATGCATTTCTTGTAGTTCGTACAAGTGTCTCGTTGTTAACCAGCCTCTTGGTCTCTATGTTCACTCGCCTGTTGTTCTTGGCCACATCATAGCCTCCAGCTGCCAGCATCTGTTTGAGTTCTGCCATGGAGATGCCGCCTCTGTGTTTGCACTGGGAAACCACACTGAGGATGAGCTGGGAGATGTGAGGCGAGGTTGGCTTTGCGGAATTTGTCTTGGGTGCATTTCCAGCCTCTGTTTGAATCTGATGCTTGAAAAGCCGGACGGGAGTCTCTGGAAAATAAATGAAAAAAAGAACATTCAAATCACAGTGTAAATTAGTTATAGTATAGTACAAATGTCTCCATCCATCTCACTGTTGTATTTTGTTATGAACCAGCTCAATGTTCAGCATCCTTTGTCCAGTATATCCTCTATCCTTCCTCTCCACATGTCCAAACATTCTCAGCCTTGCCTATATAACTTTGTCTCCAAACTGAGCTGACCCTTTATGTACTCTAAATCTTAGCATCTTCATCAACAGTTGCTAAAATGCATAGCCCCCCCACCCATTTTGAACCAGGAAAGACCCTGTAAATAAATTCTGTGTCATAGTATTATTTTTTATTGTTTTAAATCTAAAGCAGATTTAAAAATAATTAAAATCAAAGACACATAAACTCTTAAAGTCTTAATTTGGATTAATTTAGCTAGCCTCAGCAGTTGGCTGATTAGCTTAGCTTTAGCTGAACCGTCAGGGACTCACTGGGAAGAGAAGCTTTCGCCTTTCCTGTCGCCGCATCCTGGTTAGGGATAGCTCGTTTCAGTAGTCGGCCCAAACGTTTGGCTCCTGCTTTTCCGAGGCCTTTCCCAGCTGGAGTTTTAGAAGGTCTTTCTATCTGTTTTATCACCTTCAAATGTGTGTTTTCTCCTGACTTCTGGCTCGCACAATTTCCCAGTGCACTCAGCTGCGTGGGGTTCGTAACAGTGGCTTTCCTTCGCATTTTTTGAGGTTTACACACTATTTCATAATTAAGGAAGAAATCTGAAATAACGGAAACTCCTCTACTGAGTTTCACTGACACGTATTGGTCAGAGTTTAAAATAGGAATGCTGATTTTGTGACATTTTGAAAAATAACAGTTCTTCAGTTGCTGGTCCAGAGCCTTAACTGAGTCAGGAAGTTATTCAAAAATAATTGATGGGTCCACTCAAGTATCAATAAGTAGGTTTTTTTGACTACTTTATTTTGAGTGCATGCATTTGATAAAAATAGACATTACATGACATGTACCTATAGGCGATAAAGACAAATAAATGATAGCAACAGAAATATTGGTTCCTCAGCTTCCTCCCACAGTGCAAAGACATCCCTGTCAGTTTAACTAGTCATTCTGAATTGAGTGTAACTATATTAGCCCTATGATGGACTGGAAGACTGTGAAGGGTATATGCTGCCTCTCATCTCATAAGAGTTAAAATTGCCTCCAGCACCCCCACCATCCTATCCTTGGATAAGCAGTTGGATGGAAAAATACAATAAACACAAACACTGATTATCAGCAATATTGTTACTATGAACCAGATATTTTTAGTCACTGCATTTCAGGGCTCAAAAACACATGTTTGCTCACCTAAATGAAGCCAAATGAATTTTAAACCCACTTCCAAGTGTAACATTCTGAAGCCAGAGTCTAACTTTTGTTCAACATATTTTGTGTGTGTGTGTGTGTGTGTGTGTGTAAGCAACTTTGAGCATCAACATCATGGGATAAATCCTAGTTTAAAAAGTGAAATTGCACTAGTTTAATGTCTGTGATGTAGAGAAAAAGAAAAAGAAGTGCAATTTTAAAAGTACACCTCACTTTTTCCACATAATAAAGAAATGCTGCTGTAGTAAATGAAAGAAATCTCTCAAGATGATTCTTTGGGCCTAAATGGTAAGAAATAAAGGTGTAAAATACATAAATCTATAACGTAATCATTTTGGTGTAGTATGAATTGCCATGGGAGAAGAAAAGCTCTAAAATACAGTTAAAAATCTCACATTTTCCAAAGCCATTTAATGGGCTGGATTAGAGTCTTTGTTGGGCTGATTCTGGCCCCCAGGCCTTATGTGTGACACCCCTGAAGAGAAACAAGCATTGCTATCCTGATGTTTTATGTGTTTTCTAATAATAACTAGAGGAAATTTTGGGTCATCTTTCTCAGGTCATATTACCATGTGGGGCAGATGGGTGCATATGGCATATGAAGGGCTTCTACTAACTACATTTTGATAGGTTCATCTTCTAGCTTTGATTCCTTATGTATACAATTATGTACTTCAATTTGCAGAACTGTCTTACATGCAGGGGGTCAGGTGGGGATATTTTTCAGAATTCATTGATTTTTTTTTTATATGTTTATGTTATTTATATGAAGTTTGAGCAAAGATACATTTTCCCACTCATCTCGGATGATTTTATTTTCAAATAAGAGGCAATTTTTGAATTTAACTTTTACTTTTTCCACTCAAGATGGTTAAAGTTAAATGAACAAAAACATCTTTAAGTAGGAGAACTTCGTTGTTCGATCCAATGTCCCCTTTCTGGCAACTTTCATCACTGAAAGCAAAGCTGGAAACAAGGTTTCAACAGTTTTCAAAAAATGAAAACAAACAAAACTAAACCGCTCGCGCAATTATACAACATGCAGACACAACCTAACAATTACAACAAAAGCAAATACATAAGTGTGCTTTGGGTTGTAGCCTACTTATGGTAGGTACACCTTTTATGTCAAATCAGAGGAGACTGGTCAGCATGCTTGTAATGAATTCTGCTTGGTTTGAATGGAGCACTGCGGGCTTGTAGGACACAGGTTATATTTGGCACAAATGACTGTGATCAAGAAGGAGGGTTTAAAAGGCATGGAGTCACGGTATGGATCAGCTTCACAGTTAATCTGCAAATAAATCACATTACAGGGAATTACACTCGAGTGTTGCTGGGATTAAAGCAGAAAAAGAAAAGACAGTAATGACAGTACATCACCTGAGAAAAGGATCTAAAGAACAAGCGAGTATATGAGATTCCTGAGAGAGACGTGTCATTAGGCTGTTGCATTAGATTCTGATGATAAGCCTAAGAAAAAAAGGCAGATAACACGAAGACATGTAAACTTGATCTCATCCTTAAAAACAGACACTAAAGCCTGACAATGGATTCTCACCTGCAGCGCTACCTGCAGTGCAGTATACTGCACCCACACCTCCTGTTGCTGTGCTGCTGACAGTGGAAACCCTCCACCTCTGCCTGCCTTTTCTGACACTGTGAGGTAGTGAGTCCACACACATTCACCCACAGCATGCACGGTCTTACTTTGAGACGAAACTGCAGAGATAAATATACATAATATTACTAACAAAAGCAAAATGTATTTTTTGTGTAGTAAATGAAGAAGAGGAAAGTGAATCTCTATTACTGTCAGGCAGAAGCAGGTGGAGGATATCTTTAGCAACAAGGAAACCAGCTGCACCATAATTAATGGCTCTGTTTACAGAAGAAGTCCAATGCTGGAATTATTTGAAAAATACAATGGAAGGCATTTAATAGTTATTGAGTGAGTGTATGTGTTACCTAGGATAGGTTGGATGGAAAAGTGGAGGTACAAACATTCCCATGGGAAAGAGGAGCTTTTTACCGAAGAGAAATGGTGTGACAGACAGTCTAAAAGAAAAGTGAAAAGATTAATGCACACTCCAGATTATTGGCAGCTATCAGCTTTAAGCTGACACTTACATATCAATATCCTCAGGCTCGGTGATCAGGACTTCAATGCGTTTCTTCTGCCACAGGGATAGAAGCTGGACATAGTTGGAGAAGAAGTTTTGGTTGCGGACTATCATCTGAAATTATAGATATTTGAAGGTCAGTGGTTTGGCTTTATTTCTACACTTTTTAATCCTTATTTTCCAAAACCAGTGATGTCAACATAGTATTTAAAAGTTGAGATTCATGGTAACAGTTTTACCATTAGTTTAATGTCATTAACAGATTTTCTATATGATAAATAAACATTCAATTAAATTTAGTTTTATTTATATAGCACCAAATCACAACAACAGTTGCCTCAAGGCGCTTTATATTGTAAGGTAAATACCTTACAATAATACAAAGAAAACAAAGAAAATGCACCTCCACACTGAGGCCTCCATAAGGCTTAACCCCAAATTTAGCATTAAAAAGGCTCCATTTCTTTGGAGACTTGGGTTCAGAGAGGAATTCTTGTTCTCGGAGATCTATGTGACGGGGGACACAGTTTCAGCTGGCACAGAGACAGTTTTTGAAATATTTGCAGCTATTCTAAGTCTACATACTCCTCATGATCTTTGGATCTCCCGCCACACCTGCTTTAACTATAGGCTATCTCACCTATGTTGGGAAAGTCTTTGAGGGAAATCGTGAGGTCCCTAAATATTATTCAGTGCTTGTAAAACACATGGATAAAGGGCTCACCACCCTGCAAAGAACCTGGGAAACTGACCTTAGAACTTAGAACTTAGAACAAGACTAACTTAATTCAAACTACTACACCGAATTTAGTGGTCACCACACAGATTATGCAGGGCGAACCTCATACAGACCCCCGAATGCTGGAAATGTCCGACTGGGGTGGGCACATTGACCCACATGATTTGCAGCTGTCCTAAATCACCAAAGTTTTGGACAGAGATTCACAAATTTGTTTAATCCCTTTTTGCCAACACTATTAAATCTAGGGAATCCATCACCCTTCAAAAATCTTCCACCTAATGTTGCCGAACAGGTGCAGACTGCATTGATATTGGGGCGTAAGCTCATTATTTTCCAGTGGAGGGCCCCTTCCACGCCACCTGTCACTCTGTGGTATAATAAAACTACAAACTAATAAAACTAGGGAGGCTGGCTCGACTCTCATACAGGCTACTGAATTAAGTGGCGAGTTTTCACCTGAAGTGAGATCCAAACAGATCAAATTAAAACCTACCTCTGAAAAAAGCAGGTCAAGCTTGGCTTCACTAGAGGGCTCCTTTGTAGTCCATAGTTTTGGTATTGCAGAATCAACCTGCAGAATCGTTTAACAAATATCAAACTTAAAAATCGTTCGTTTCTGAAGAAATTCAAAAAGAAAACAAATTCTTCACTCGTTACCTTTTCCATGACAAGCTGACGAGATGTCTGATCTGTCCACTCAAACTCATTTAGTTTGGACTTGAAGGAGTGAAAAACACTTTGAATAATCTTCTCTGCCTATTGGAGAGTTAAATAACAGATTATCAGACAGAACTTTTTCTCTCTATGTAATTCATTAGGTCTCAAGATGTCTCCTCACCTCCTTCTGTGCTGTCACTTCACTGAGAAGATGTGTGAGAACTGAGTCAAATCCTCTCTCAGTTTCCAGCACACAGTGTTTCCAGCGAGGAGCTTCCTGGTGGAAAGCCAAAATATAAAGATATTACAGTAACCAATCAATTCACAGATCCAGTTTTTCTTTTCTCTGTAGCATATTCGGCTAACCTCTTCAGTGTTACCCAAAGCCATAGAAAAGTTCTTTGCTGTTTCAAAAAATCTGGAGTCCATGGCAGGCATCAGGGTGTGCAGCAGATTGAGGACCATAAAAGTATGAAGGGGAGCGCTGAGTGGAAACAAACGACCCAGCAACAAAGATAAGCATAAAAAAAGAGAAAGAATGTGCTTGTCATTTTTATGTTACTTTACAGTACCTGTTGCTCAATTCGGGCTTGTTCTGCCATTTGATGATGGTGTTGGACATCTGCACGATGTAGGGTAAGTTATGCAGAAGGACATCATCATCTGCAGTGAGGGGCAGGGGATGGAAAGCAGCCTGGAGGCAGCCCAACCAATCAATAGCAGGGGCTTGTCTCTGTAGGGACATTTCCATATAAAAAATACTGTCATCACATGTATCCAGACAACAGGTACTCAAAGTGTTTGTTTTTTTAAATTAAATGTATTTATTGTTTAATTTCAGTTTAAGTGTGAGTGTGAGCATGATGATTCTCTGTCTCTATGTGCTCGCTAAGTGATGGACTGGTGACCTCTGCAGGGTATTAAGGTGTTTAGAACATACAAAAACCTGACTCAAATTAATGTGGACCAAATCTCACTAAACACATGCGCTATAGCATCCTTACTGTACAGTCCTATTTATGTATTTGCATTTTTCTAAAATATAGTTGTCATTGTTTTTCTAGTTAATTTGTAGCTACGTTTTACTGACTAATAGTACGTACAGTATAATGGTATCATCTGTCCTTGATTTAGGTAAAACTTCTGTCTCTGCAGTATGTACAGACATTGCTTCTATCAGAAGAGCAGCACAGCACAAAGAAACGTAGATCCTTTACCTGTAGCTCTTTGATGGTCATGCGCTGGTAGAGCTGTCCTTTGGACAGGCGAGAGTCCAGGGGTGAAGATGCCACAGCAAGCTGAGAGGACAGAGAGACGAAAGAGCCCACATGGATCAAGCTGCTGCTCTTCGGGGCACCCAGCAGGTCGAGGTATTGCTGACACGAGGCCAAGAAAGGACGTAAAGTCTAGATAAAAGAGACAGGACAAAAAGAAAGGCCTTAGTTGGATGGATAAATGTTCTTGTATTCATTTAAAGACATTTCCTGAATCAACAAGGATACTCAACCTCAGTTTTAGCTCTAGACTTCTCTGTCTTGCTGTTCCATTCAATTGGGATCAACAACTCAGGTTGATCAATCTGTTGGCAAAGAGGAGACTTGATTTAAAGCAAAAACACAAAGCTTACATTGCTCTGGCAGCTCTCAGAGCAGCAAAACCTAAATCCTCTTAATTCATACTAGCCTGTATGTATCTTTTGTTAATCCCACGTGCTGCTTCATAAGGGTCTTTGCCCACATAGATGTTGAAGAATGGAAAGGTATTGTAGTCTCTCATTAGCAATCCCAAGGTGGTGTTGAAATCGGTCTGATTCCACTGCCCTGATACGGCCCAGCCTCCCAGCTGCGTACAGAGAAGATACAGTGAAAAAATATTAGTAGATGAAATTGGGGGAAAAAAAATGTAACCAAACAGTTTGGAGTCTCCTGAACCCAAAGGAGATGTTTTTAAACTGATTGATTCTTCTGGGCAGCAGATATTGAGTGTTAAACAAGCAATTTCTAACATTTTAGAAGGTGGACTTTGCAAAATTTGGCAATTTTGGTCAAATTACAATTGACTAATCATTTTAGATCTTGTAGAACTACAAAGGAGACAATTCGGCTAAACTGTTTGTTTTTCTTTTTGACCTCTACTAAGTTTATGACAGAGTTATTCATGTAGTTACAGCACCTCCTGTAGGCCAACAGGCATCATTAAAAAAAAAACTGGTGATGGTTTCTGTTTGGTTTTTAAAATTTAATGGGATACTTTCATAATGGTAATTTAAGTAATTAAGTCTTATGAGCACATTTGATAACCGATGTAAGCTTAAGTGTGATTTGATAAGCTTGCTATGTTTGGAATATGAGTATCATACTTTCTGTATGAGTGTGAGGAAGGGGTCTGCGCCAGCAGTTTCTATAGATTTTGTATCCAGGCAGGAATTGTAGAATCCTTTAGTCTTCTGCACTGCTGAACTATTCATCCTGCTGTCTGTTTCTGACATACAGATCCAGAAAAAAAGAAAAATATTTAGATCATTTGGAAAGGTGGCATGCTGTATGAGGAGTCACACACAAGAGAGGACATTTAAAAAAAATTCCCACTGAATACAGACTCATACCTAAAATCTTCTTGAGATACTGCAGCAACACAGCTTTTCTGCTCAGTGTTTTATTCTCTGTTAGTCCTCCATGTTCCTGCTTTGACTGCACAGACTTTCTTTGGTTTTCTGCATGTAAAGTAAAACCATGACTTCTTTGTCGCCTTTCACTGTCCAGCAAAAGTCTGTCTGATCCACACGTGAACAAAAAGTAATCACAGGGTTGCGTGAAGGGATCAGCAGATGTGGAGAGACGGGCTGAAACCCACTGACAGGCAGGAGAGAGACACGGAGTAACTGCAGAGTGAGACAAAAGTCAGACAAAATGGCAGAATTCTGAATTCATTGTCTCGTATTGGTGTGTTTTTCTGAACTCCTACCAGTGTGGAAATGGTGAGACAGATGGTTGATTAGTCCCACCATGCCAGCAAGTAAGATGCAGCTAAAGAGGAAGAGTAGCCATTTTCGATGTTTCATCCACACTGGTTTCACTCGGTGCTCGATGTTAGAGTATGACATATGCAGTCGCTGTCGGTCAGACTCGAGTTGTTGCAGGATCTGGTGGGGATAATGAGTGAGTAGTTGCAGTAGAGGGGAAGGCTGAACCCTCCCAAGTTCTGGATGCAGCTAAATAGACAGATGGATCTCTCAGGTGCTGTGTCAGATCTTTACTGCCCCCCCCCTTCTATTTCTTAAAGACAAGACTTTTAGATATTGTTTATTTTCTTTTGTAATCTGCTTGTCCAGTTTTAGAAAGTCTTTTTAGGATACCCTGGACACCATGCCAATATATACCAAGTCTTTGCCTAATAGCCCTCCTGCAATCATCTTGTTAATAGAAAAAAATACTACTTTATCCCTGTGAATTCTTGTTATCTCTGACATTTGTTGTGGCTATAGAACTACTACTATAGAAATGGGAACATACTTTGTGTTTTTTCAGCAGGCTATTAAGGAAATGGGCTATTTGCTAGGTTGCCTCTTTTATGCTTGAGTGATTTCTCGGCCAATTTTAAGTGACTTAAATAAAAGAAAAAGAAGCATTGCTCTGAAAATGACAGGTACAAGGACTGGAATGAAAATAAGGGGAAAAAAAGGAAAAAAAAACAGCCAATGGCCAAAGAAAGACCTTCAGAAAGCCTGGAGAATTATTGCTCAAGACCACTATAAATAATTACATTTATGTAAATTTGTGTCCTTGGAAACAAAATATAAAACAAGGAAGAGTGACTCATTTTCGCTAATGTGTGCTAAATTGAAAGTGGTTTTAAAATAACTTTAAAAATACTTGCTTATACCCAAAGACATTCAATAGCGCAGCTGAAGTGATTTTTATTTTTCTACATAAAAACTACTTTTAACAGTAACAATGCGTGATCAAGAGCTACACATGACATGGAATTCATTAGGTGAGTTTCATGTAATTTATTTAAGCACAAT